ACCTACCTCACAGGGTGTCTGTTGTGGGGAGGGGAAGGGAAAGGAGTTTGTAAGCTGCTCGGAGACTCCGAGTGAAGGGCGGGATATAAACCCAATCTCCTCCTCCTCCTCCTCCTCTTCTTCCTCCTCCTCCTCTTCTTCTTCTTCAGCTTGTGTGCCAGTCTTTTTGGTGTAGTGGTTAAGTGCACGGACTCTAATTTGGGAGAACCGGGTTTGATTCCCCACTCCTCCTAACTTGCAGCCGCTAGATGACCTTGGGCAAGCCACAGTTCTTTCAGAGCTGTCCTGAAAGTGTGGTTCTCTCAGAGCTCTCTCAGCCCCACCTACCTCACAGGGTGTCTGTTGTGGGAAGAGGAGGGGAAGGGAAAGGATTTTGTAAGCCGCTCTGAGACTCTGAGTGAAGGGCAAGGGTATAAACCCAATCTCCTAATCTCCTCCTCCTCTTCCTCCTCCTCTTTCTCCTCTTCCTCCTCCTCCTCCTCTTTCCCCTCCTCCTCCTTTTCCCTTGAAAACTTGTAAGTCGGCTGTGACTTGATGGCACTTTCCACCAAGGCTTTTTTATTTCATTCGTGCCTAGCTCTTGTCCCCAGCGGGGATCCGAAAGTGGCTACAATGTTCTCCTCCCTTTGTGGCATACAAGAAGAGTCTTGGCCTTCATATGAGCCATGCCTGGGTGATGGCCACTTGGCCGTGTTGACTGCTTGATAATAGGAGTCACAGTAAATGGCGGTCTGTTGCTGAAAACAGTGGGCCGGTGTCCTGTTCTTCCTCTGCAGCGTCAAAGGATACGAATAGGGTGTCATTGGTTGGTGGCCACCCAATAGAGAGAGCCTGTGAAAGTTGTTATGTGACATGCATTGGATATTCCTAGAGGCAGCCAGGCCGGGGGTGGGGACGGGACTCTTGCAGCCTACCAGCAGTCTTTGCAGTGTCTGGTTTAGCCAAAATCCATGGCTGAGCTAGGACTGGAACGTGAGACCCAGTCGCATCATCCTTTGACTTCGGTTTAATGCCTGTAGTTTTCCTGTGCTCCTGTAAACAGTCCATGCTCTGCTAAATGGCACACTACAGCACGGGGGTCTCCACGTGAAGACGTGTGTTCCGTTTTGTCCCAAGGACAATATTTGCAGCCCTTATTTATTTATTTGTTTATTTATTTATAGAAAAGACACTGCTTTTCTGCTAGCATTTACAAGGAAGCTATCAACAATACAGCTCCATTAAAATACAATTAACCAGCACATGATAAGTGTAAGTTTCCCCTCCTTGTCCCTTGAATACTGAGTAGTGCACAACTGATTCAAAGAATTAATGAAGCAAGAAGCCAAAAAAAGCAAAGGTGGCAAATACATTTTTTTTTGGCTGTGTGTGTGTGTTAATTTTGTTGGTCACAAATCCCAAAAGCTCAGCGAGGATTGCCTTCATCTGGTGCTGAAAAATCAGTAAAGAGCCAGGTGAATTTCCTTTAGGAGGGTATTCATAATCTAACTATATGTTTTATGCTCCACTCCAAATGCACCCAAACAGTAATATGTTCACTTTGTTTAGTTATAGTACCTCTGAGTGTGTCTACATGAAGCTGCCTTATACTGAATCAGGCTTTTGAGCCATCAAATTCGGTATCGTCAACTCAGACAGGCAGGGGCTCTCCAGGGTCTCAGGCTGAGACCTTCACATCACCTACTACCTAGTGCTTTCAATGAAGAGATGCTGGGGATTGAACGTGGGACCGTCTGCACGCTAAGCAGATGCTCTACCACTGAGCCACCACCCCTCTCCATTGCAGGGTTGTCTCTCCCCACTGTTGTTGAACCTTTACAACCTTGGTGTGTTTGGAGGGAGCGGAATGGCTTTCAGGTCGGAGCTATAATGCAAAACAAGTGTGCAAGCCTCCGGGTACTCCAGAACGCTTTGTTAGACTGGACGTTAAAACGAAACGCTTCTCTGTGTTGAAAGCTCATGTTGCTTTTTGCTCTCATTCTGCAGGGAGAAGGGAATAGTTAGAGCCTCTTTCTGAGTCAAGCTTTCCACTTGCAAGGAGTTTTGTTTTATGTGTAGCATTCATAGGAAGAGCCCAGCTGGATCAGACCAGTAGTCCATCTAGTCCAGCATCCTATCTCATACAGTGGCCAGCCAGTTCCTCTGGACAGCCAACCACAGGACATAAAAGGCCCCTGATTTGTCTCCTGGCACTGGGGCTCCAAGGCTGACTGCCTCTGAACGTAGAGGTTCCCTTTAGTCACCATGGCTAGTCACCATGGCTAGTAGCTGCTGACAGACCTCTCCTCCATAAGTCTGTCTGATCTCCTCTGAAAGCTGTCCATGCCTGTGGCCATCATAAGAACATAAGAGATGCCAATGTTGGATCAGGCCAAAGGCCCATCCAGTCCAACACTCTGTCACACAGGGGCCAGAAATACCAGTGCCATCAGGAGGTCCACCAGTTGGGCCAGGACACTAAGAGCCCTCCCACTGTTGACCCCACCAAGCACCAAGAAGACAGAGCGTCACTTGCCCCAGAGTCCCTATCTATACCTTGTGGCTAATAGCCACCGATGGACCTCTGCTCCATATACTTCTCTAGTTCCCTTTTGAAGCCGTCCATGCTTGTAGCCGCCACCACCTCCTGTGGCAGTGAATTCCATGTGTGAATCACTCTTTGGGTGAAGAAGGACTTCCTTTTATCCGTTCTAACCCGACGACTCAGCAATTCCACGGAGTGCCCACGAGTTCTTGTATTGTGAGAAAGGGAGAAAAGGACCTCAAAGTACCTCTTTCCCTACCTGCTCTTTCCCATGCATAATCTTATAAACCTCAATCATGTCTCCCCTCAGTCATCGTTTCTCCAAGCTAAAGAGCCCTAAGTGCTTTAACCTTTCCTCATAGGAAAAGTGTTCCAACCCTTTTATCATTCGAGTTGCCATCACTACATCGTCTGCCCTCGAACTCCACATTTTAGTCACTCTCTGTGCAAAGCAGTGTTTCCTTTTGTCCGTCCTGAACCAACTGTCCATCAGCTTCCTTGGATAGCCCCGAGTTCTAGTATTTGAAGAGAGGGAGAAAAAGCTCTCTTTGTCAGCAGGGGTATGCCCTGTTTCACCACCTCATTCCACTGCATATGTTGACCTGGGCTCATAGGTGGAATCCCTGCATCAAAACAACCTTGATATAATCATCATGGGCAAGTTGTGTCGCGTGTGAAAAATTAGACTCTTCAGCTTTTGGTTTGCATGTGTGTGTGTGGGGCCCATAGTACCGATGAAATTATCCCAGTTTCTAAAGGCATTGCCCACCTCTCTGGGGCATCTGCTCCATGTTCTCGCTCCTGTCCTGAGCCTGTGAGAGGGCGTTGCTGCATTAGCAGAGCATTTAGTCTAGATCCAACCCTGTGTGTAGGCCAGGAATGGCCAAACTGTGGCTCGGGAGCCACATGCGGCTCTTCCAGTTTGGAGCCAGTTTGGTGTAGTGGTTAAGTGTGCGGACTCTAATCTGGGAGAACCGGGTTTGATTCCCCACTCCTCCACTTGCACCTGCTGATGTGACCTTGGGTCAGTCACAAGCTCTGGCACAGCTGTCCTTGAAAAAGAGCAGTTTGTGTCAGAGTTTTCTCAGCTCCACCCACCTCACAGGGTGTCTGTTGTGGGGAGGGGAAGGGAAAGGAGTTTGTAAGCCGCTCTGAGACTCCAAGTGAAGGGCGGGGTGAAGGTCCGGGGATTGAACCCAGGACCTTCTGCATGCCAAGCAGAGGCTCTACCACTGAGCCACAGCTAGAGATGTAAAATTTCTGGAAATCTTGAAGCTCGGGAAAAATCCCGGATTTTTTCCAGGGGAAAACGTAATTTTTTGGAAAAATTGAAAAAAAATGCTACATTAGCATTTCTTTTGTCTTTTCTAGATTGAAAGTCATTCTGTTACTTTTGGAACATAAAATATGACTATGGACATTTTTACTTGGCATGAAATTATCACAGCTAGCATATTAAAAATATAGTGTATCCAAACAATTATTACAAACAGAATACCCATCCACATGCAAAAACAAAACTGAAACCTTTTTCTTTTCTTCTGACAATCGCACCTACTAAAGGAAGAAATGCATCTTGTTCTTGCATTGGAGAGTTCAGTTTGTAATCTAGGACTTGCTTGTCCTCAGTGCACAGACATTAGATCAATCTGATACCA